AAAACTGCTTAAAAGTCTCTGACCAAACAGTGGGCAATTGAGATAAAAAGCTTAGAGAATAGGGAAAAGCTTTTAGCACGTAGAGAAGGGTGTATAACCTGCAAATGTTTGAAGTGATAAAACTTTATGTAACTACTCTATAATGGAAAGAATAGAAGGTAAAACTAGATGTCTATTTAGATAAGACAGACTGCAAAAAGAGTGTGTGTAAAGATAATTTTGAGCTTGCTACTTTCAAACTGTATAAAAGGCTATGTTATTTCTTGGCTCGGCGGAGTGCACTGGGGAGAACACCTGCCCCTTTGCATTCCCCGGCTGTAATAAAGGTGCTTTTCAGATTGGCAGAGGTTTCTTTGAATCACTTGTTAACCCCATCCTGTGATTGAGTGTTCCTGTAAGCCCCTTGAGACTTCTAATTGGTTACTCTGTGAATCCTCCTAAACCCTATAAATGTAACATCCCCAACAATAAACTCTCTCATGCCTCCTCTCCACGCCGGTGTGCTGTCTCTGTGCCTGCCATGGGACCACGTAGGTGGTGGGGGGAGGGGAGGGCACCTCTCCCCTCCAGGCTCGGGGCCTGAAAAACCCTGTCGATTGGAGTTCCCTTTCCCCATCCCTCAGGACGTCGGAATGGTTCATCAGATGGAGATGGAACTAGAACTGGGCTCCCCCACGCTGTGGGTGGGGAAAGGGATCTAGAGAGTAGGGTGATAGGGAGCTCAATGGGATGGTGGCAAGCGCAGCAGGGTAATCAGTGGAATGATGGGGAACACAGCGAGGTAAGGGGGGAGCATGGGCAACCACAGTCCAAAGGTGTCCTCCCACTGCAACCTCACTGATGCAAGTGGCAGAGCTCAGGAAGGGAGATGCCACCTGTCTGCTATCTTTGCCCACCCTGACGGGTCCCAAGGAGAGAAATCCCGGGCAGAGCTATTTGCAGGAAGCCGTGAGGCGTGGGGCTGGAGCTGTTGGCCAGCAGCCAGCCACTCTCTCCTCCTGCTTGGGAGCACTGAGGATGTTCTGTGTGCAGCGGTGGGATCACCATCCCCACCAGGGCTGGCCCCACTCCCGGCAGCCTCCACAGGCCCAGGCTCCCTGCCCACTGCATCATGAGGCCAAGGTGCCTCCGCAGCACGCTGTTCTCTCTGACTCAGGGTGCACAGCTGGTGTGGGATGAGGGACAATGCCACAAGATGTAACGCGTTTTCCCAGCACTGCTCACCCATGCTTTTCCCCTGCCAGATGATGATCCCCTGGACTGTGATGATGTTGCTCACTGGTGCTGTGGCACCTGCTGGCCCCCAGCCACCTTGCTGGTAGACCATGCCCCTGACCCCTCTCCATGGCTTGGCCACAGGTGGGGTGCTCCAGCTTGCTGGCGTGTGCATCTGGAGGATGTAGGGTGTCCTGGCAAGCCCCTGGAAGACAGTGTGTCTAGTGGGGCAGGCATCTGAGGCAGCAGTGGGCCAGGGTATGTAGCGGGAGTTCATGTACATCTTGTTGAGGAGCTACAGGGACATGTACTGCAATCTCACCCTGAAGGTCATGCATGGCATCAGAGCAGTGGATACACCCTGATACATCCTCAAGATGGATGACAGCTGCTTCAACATGGACTGCTTGCCCAGCTTCCTGGCATGGGCCAGCCCCTACGTGGTGTCCCTACTCTTCTGGCAGAAGTGGCAGGCCACCTATCAGCCCTCCAGCAAATGGCACTGTAGAACTACTGTCCTGACATCTACCTGCCCTACATCAGCAGAATCGACTACTTTCTCTCCCTGGATGGGGCAAAGAGATTCTGGAGGCAGCAAATCACCCCATCCCCTTGCAGTACGTGCACAAACTGCTGAAGGTGGTGGGCGTTGGGGGAAGAGACAGCGGCTCTCTTGCCAAGCACCACATGCCATGGCATGTCTGCAACTACTGTTACCTGATGGTGACCCATGTACTAAAGCAGGAGGATCCCTCCTGGAGCAGGAGGGCCTCACTGCTGCATGTGGGAAGCCCGCAGCACTGGCTGGAAGTGACCTGCCAAGGACCCAGAGAACAAGGGCCTACAGCTGCTGCACAGACTGCCCCTGCAGCCCCAGTGCTGCCCAGCATCGCCCACCCCAGCCTCTTCCCTTGGAGAGGGATGCACCCTGGCAATCTGGGCTTCCTGCCCTCCAGTCCTGGAGGCCCCACTCTGCTCCAGAGCCCAGCAGCATGTTCCCCAGGCAGGAGTCCTGCCTGCGCCAGGTGCTGCTGGAAGGGGCAGACAAAGCACATCTGCACCAGTGTTTGCCCTGGGAGTTTCTGAGGCTGTAAATAGCCAAGTTCCCCTCCTCCTCATCTTGAAAGTGAGAAAGGGAACATCCCCCAGAGAGGGGGAAAGAATTGGTCAATTGTCATCACTGGTAGAAAAGCTATTTTTAATTTTATTAAAATGTCTCTCTTCTATAAACTTTCAAAATATCTGGAACCTCTGCTATACAGATTTGTGCTGTGGTTGCGTAGCAAAGCTGTTGCTCCTGGGGTAGGTGATGGTGGCACTCATGGTGGGGTGCAACTGGTGGCACGGGACAGCTGAGGTTCCTCTTTGCAATCCGGGGAGGTGTGGGGAGTGCCAGGGGAGCAGGGCATTCCAGGGCCACCCTCAAAAAGGGGCACATGGGGGATGTAGTGGCTAAGGGGGCCAGGATGGGTCTGTGGCCGGAGCAGGAGCTGGTGCAGGGTCTCGCCCACTTGCACGAGGCTGTGGGAGAGGAGCTGGAGGTGGGAGACTGTGTCGCTGGCCAGGCTCTCCAGTAGTGCCTGCTGCTGCCGTGATGTCTGCAGGATCTGCACCAGCAGTTGCTGGACGTTCTGGAGCAAGCTTGCCACACCAGGCCCTGCAGTGAGAGAGGAGTCAGTGGCAGCAAACCCTCACTATGGCTCTGAGAGCTCCCTGTGAGGCTTTTGGGGTGCTGCAGGGAGGACCCACCATGAAGGCTTGCATCTGATGCATCTTCACCTGCTGCCGGCTGCTCGCTCATGGCAGCTGTCCCTTGGGAGCCTGAGGCTGCGACAGCCACTGGCAGCATTTGGTTTCCTCTTCCCATCCCCAGGGATGTCTCACCAGGAAAACGTGCCACGATAGCTTGGCAGGGAGGAAACAACCAGAGTGATGGAGGCACCCAAACCCATGCTCAGCTTCACCCCACACACAGACCTGGGGAGGCACTGCCTCTGGGAGCCCAAGCCCTGCATTCTCGCTGGCAGGACAGGACAGAGCTGTCCCCTGGACCAGGAGAACTTGCTCAAAACTGCAGACACTTACCAGCCTTTCCCTCTGTTCCTTCCTGCTTCAGGTCAGTGTGACAGCCTGGAATGAGAGCAGATACAGCCTGTGAGCTGCAGCCAGCTCCTGCCCCAGGGCGCAGAAGCAGAGTAGCCAGGATATGATGCTCACCCAGGATGGAGACAGGAGGGAAACAGCAACTGGTGTCTGCAACGAGAACTGTATCAGACCCTGCTCGTGGGGCTGAGGGGATTTACTGGGCTTTACTGGGCTGAGCAGGGCAAGGAAAGCCTTACATGGCATGGTGGGGGGTGTGGGTGGCACTCCAGCGATGTGTTCCCCACCAGCTGCTGGGAGAAGGCAGAGAGGAGAGATACACCGTCTGACAGGACTTGGCAGGGGATCACCACCAGCCCAGGGTCTGCCTGGCTTGCCTCGGCCAGCCCCACAGCCCAACATGCCCTAGCCACAGCTCCACAGTGCCCTGCAGGGCCCCAAAGCATTTCAGAGCTAGGTACAAAAGCAGGAGTCACTCACCCACCACTGCAATGCAGCCACCCCTGGGCTGGAAGGCAGCAGCGGCGGAGCAGCGCGCAGGAACGCTACACAACAGACTAGGACTGGAAGTGAAGGAGAATCCCACATCCACTTGAAACTGCAGGGGGAATTTAGGGAGACAGAAGGCAGTTACCCGGTGTGGGATGCTGGCTGGGGCACCCACGCAAATCAGACTCAGGGATGTATCCTGCATCACCTCAGTGCCAAACTCCCTGGAGGGGTGCAAGATATGCCCCTGGGTGGGCTGCGGGGCATGGGAGCTGCAAGCACCTCTGGCCCTCACACACAGTCCTAACTCATCCAAAGACCTATGTTGTTACTGGGGAAGGGGGGAGCCAGGACCTGACAAAGGAAGGGGAGTCACATGCCCTGCAGTGCCACACAGCCACAGGAGACCTCTGGGCTGTATTGGGGCCACTGCCCCTTACAGACTTTGTGCCCCATAGTCTGCCATGGGGTGGCCAGCAGCCTTGCCATGCCCTCAGGCTGGATCAGAGCTGGAGACCCCTTCCTGCCCTGTCCCAGCCATCCCTTCATGCTCTGGGGCTGGTTCAACCTCCAGCTGAAGCCTCTGGAGGGGGAAATCCCAACGCTCCCATCACTGAGCATCCCTGATAAGGGACACGTGATGGATCCTCTGATCCCCTAAGCCCCCCATTCCCATTATGCTGGCCTGGGCTTGGGCTGGAGCTGTGGCCGTGCAGCTTGGTGCAGCAGGGCAGGTTGGTACTTACGGCTCTCTGGCTCATCCTTCGCACACCGCAGCAGCGGGGACAGCAGCGTGCCTGGAGTGTCCCTGCTAACATCGTGCTCTGCAGAAGGAAGTGAGGGGGGTGCAGAAAAGAGCTTCAATAACTGGGTGATGAGGGGCGTCTGCCACCCCACAGCCAGGACAAGCCCCACTCCGGCTGTCTGAGCCCACAGGTACCTGGTGGCTCTGGCGAGGATGAAGACCGAGTGGCAAGGGCTGACCTGCGCTTCCTGGTGGGCAGTTTCACCAGTTCTAGAGGACGAGAAAGACCATCAACATGCCCTGGCTGTCCGTGCAGCATCAGTCCCCAAGCAACCCACATCTAGCCACCCTGCTAAGCTCACATGCCCGTCCCTGGCACCCACCTGGCATCCTCCGCTCGCCAAAGACGGGCCGCCCGGCTGCCTTCCATATACTTTTCATGGCCCGGTAGTGCGGAGGAAGCCGGGGCGAATGGTGTCCTGCCCTCCGGCGCGTCTCCCGCTCCGAGTGGAAAGCCTGCTTGAGCGCCTTCCACTTGGAGCGGCACTGGGCCACGCTGCGCCCGTAGCCGGCCGCCGCCAACCCCCGGGAGATCTCCCGCCACAGCGCCTCGTTGGGTCGCGACGTGGAGGCCATGAGCAGGGCGGCCTCCCCCGAGCCCCCCACCAGCGACAGGAGGCTGCTGACCTCCGCCTGCGTCCAGGCTCGCCCCCGAGGCATCCTGCTGGGGCGGCGGGGGGCGCCGGGGGAACGCTCGGCCCCGAGCCGGGATCAGCCCCGGGGCTCGGCCGTGCGCTCCCGAGGGCGCACCGGGAGGATGCCCCGCCTGGGCGGCACCGGGAGCCGTTGGGAGCCAAACCGGGAGTCTCCCCGGGGAGCTGCACGGGGAACCGCCGGGAGTCGCCCCGGGAGCCGCACCCGGGATCGCCGCCGGTCTCACCCGCAGCCGCACCGACCGCCCCTGCGCCGCACCGGGCGCCGCGCCGGGAGCTGCCGGGAGTCGCCGGGAGCCGCATCGAGCATGTGCAGCCCCGGGAGGAGCCGCTGGGAAACGTAGTCCGGATGAGCCATCCTTCCCCCAGCATAAGCTGGCAGCCTGGAGCGGGGAACGTTGTCTGTCCCCGGGGGCCGGGGGGGGCTCGGGGGGCACGGCAGGGATGGCCATCGCGGCAGCCCTGAAGGCTTGGGGGAGGGTAAGGAGCACCCCAGCCCCCCGCTTTCCAGGGCTGAGATGCAGTTGCAGCCCCATGCAAAAGAAAGGGCAGCAGAAACCACTTGTAAGCAAATACCCCGTGGCCTTGCTGCTTGGAGAGAGGCGCGTGGGGACGTGACCTGCACCTCAAGGCAGATCAGACTAAGACAGTTGGGGTTGTTGAGTTTTGAGAAGGCTCCCAGGAGACCTTATAGCACCTTTCCGGTACCTAGAGGACTACAAGAGAGCCAGAGAGGGACATTTTATAAGGGTATGTAGTGATAGAACAAGGGGGAATGGCTTCAAACTGACAGAGGGCAGGTTTAGATCAGATTCTAATCATAGAATATCCTGAACTGGAAGGAACCCACTGGGATCAAAAAATTCCAACTCCTGGCCCTGCACAGGATACCCCAAGAGTCACACTATGTGACTGAGAGCATTGTCTGAACACGTCTTGAATTCTGTCATGCTTGGTGCTGTGACCGCTTCCCTGGGGAGCCTGTTTTGTGTCCAACCACCCTTTGGGTGAACAGTCTGTTCCCAATATCCAACTTAGACCTCTCCTGACATGGCTTCATGCCATTCCCTCGGGTCCTGTCCTGGTCATCACAGAGAAGAGATTGATGCCTGCCCCTCCGCTGCCCTTCATGAGGAAGCTGTAGACTGAGATGAGGTCTCCCCTCAGCCTCCACCAGGCTGAATAAACCAAGTGACCTCAGCTGCTCCCTGTATGGCTTTCCCTCTTTTAGAAAGAATTTCTTCACTATGAGGGTGGTGAGGCACTGGTACAGGTTGCCCAGAGAAGCTGTGAATGCCCCATCCCTGGAAATGTTCAAGGCCAGGTTGGATGGGGCTCTGAGAACCTGGTCTACTGGAAGGTTTCTCTGCCCATGGCAGGGGAGGTTGGAACAAGATGATCTTTAAGATCCTTTACAATCCAAATAATTCTATGACTCCGTGACATGGCTGCCCAGCTCAGCCCTGGACCTGTGTCTGAGTTAGCAGCCATCCCCATCACCTGCTACCCCAAAACCAGGGCCACAGGGTTCCCTTGTGCTGGAACGCCTGGGTGCCAGCCCCAACAGCCCCTTGCCCCAAGTGTCTGTCAGCACCATGACACCCCTGGGTTGTGTCCCAGGTGGTGCCTCTGGGGACCCCACCAGGAAGTGACACTTTCCATTTTGCATCACACCCGTCTGACAAAGTGTCTGGGAGAGGGTTGCCAGTGTCCCCGTGGGGTGCAGAGCAAGAAATCAAAGAAGGGATGGAAGAGAGGGTCACATACGCTGATCTGCGCTTTCCCCCAACACCAGGTAATGGCGCGGTGCTCCCTGTCCCTGGCACCCCAGCTCTCTCAGCGGATTCCCTGCCCTCCTGCAGACCCCTGGCCTCCCAGACCTGCTTCCCCCAATTTCTGTGTGTCCTCTCCCAAGCAGCTCCTCTCAAGCCTCCTTGCAGACTGCCTGCTGTCAGGGTGGGGGGCAGGAGAGGCTCAAGAGCGGGGGATGCCCACTGTACCTCAATGCCACAGCACACACAGGCAGTCCCTGCTCTGCTCTCCCTGTCCCATGTAAAGTGCTGTCTGCAGGGAAACAACTTCTAGGAGGGTCACACTGCTGCAAATGGGCTCTCCCCCACTTTTCCTGGGCTACCCTACTGCCTTCTGACATCCTGCCTGGGATTCACAGACCTTTCCTGGCTGGAAGTTACCCACTGCTCCCATCAAGCCCCCCAGGGTCTAGGTTAAATTAAATCCTTTTCTCAGGTCCTCAGCAACCGGTGCGCCTGCCCTGGTGCTGGGCAGCCCTCAGCCTGGGTCTCCTCTCCCTGGTGCTTCTGCTGGCACAAATCATCCTTGTCAGCTTGAGCTTCCACTGTGAGTACCTACCTGCCTGTGCCTGGATCTCTGTGTCTCGAATCTTGCAGTTGGAGCTGGCGCCACAGGACCAACAGACAGAGCTGCAGCTTCCCCAAGGAGCTGGGCCCTCCCGCTTGGGGCTGAGTGCATTGAGGGTTCTGGGGCAAGCGAGAAAATTGGTTAGGCAAGACATCGCCTACTTGGCTGGAAAAAAAAGTTGGTGGGAGAGCGTGGGCTTGGGGAAGGCCATCACATGGCATTGAAAAGAAAGCAGGAAGGAGAGAGGTGACACTGAAACTGAAAGGCAGCAGCACTTTCCCCAAAAGTCTGTGTTGTGTTGGGCTCCCAAGCACAGCAAAAACCGCAAGGCCCTTGGCTGGCTTGGCGTACCCAAAGCAGGAGATGTCCTCACCCACAGCTGTGGGGTCACCCTGTGGGAGAGGACACCGTGTGCTGCTGGGAGCAGGAGCCCAGAGTTGCTGGGACACCCCTGTGCTCTTCTTCTGTAGATTTAGTACAACAACAGATGAGCTGCACCCATGATCTCTGGAGCACGGAGAAGAGCCCCAGCTATGGGCAACAGACACTGCGAGGTAAGAGAGCCTGGTGAGCTCCTGGACAAAGTTTGGAGAGGGTCTAGCTGCTCCTTTCAAGCAGCAGGATCTGTCCATGCTCCAGGACATTCTCCCCACCCCAAATATTCCTTCACTCTTGCTGCCTGTCCCCTGGCTCATGGCATAGAGAGCTGCCCCAGCACTGCTGAACAAGCTGAATGTTGGGACCTTTGGAAGAGGTGACCCCAGCATGGTTCAGCATTGCCTGGACATGCCACCAGCACGAGGCTCATGGATGCCACCAGCATCCGTTTTCCAGATGGCATCAGGTGCTCTCTTTGACCATCTCTGGTCCAACTGAAATCTTGACTGAGTTCCCAGCACTTGGGAAATTGTGTTTGTATTGCTTCTGCAAAACTGGAGCTCCCCTCCCTGCCCAGTGCCAGCACCTTCCCGTAACTCCTTCTCCCCAGGGAGCTCCTTCTCATAAGGGCCTCCCTCTGGGGAGCTGGGGCTGGAAGATGGGAGCTGAGCTCCCGAATAACAGCAAGTGGAGGGTGGTCTCCGTGGGGCAGCCCTAGGAGCACAGTGGGTGGGTTGGTACCCGGTGGCTGCCCATTGTCACTGTCCTGCCCCTTGGGCTGGGGGCTGGGTGCAGCCCCTGCCAGTTGCCCAATCCCAGCTTCTGTGTTTCTGGTGTGCAGCGCAGTGCCAGTTTTGCCCAGTCGGCTGGCTCTGGGATGCAGGGCAGTGCTACTACTTCTCATCTGCCAAAAAGACCTGGGAGAAAAGCAGAGAGGACTGCTGCTCCAGAGGGGCACAGCTGGTCACCATCCAAGACAACACTACCCTGGTGAGTGCACCCAGCCTGCCCTGTCCAGCTCCCTGCGAGCATCGGGCTGTGCTGGTGACCACCTCAAGGTCCCTCAGCAGCCACCCACCCATCAGCAGCATTGTCTCAGCTCCTTGGCTCTGGCCTATGTGCCCAAATCCTAGTTAAGCTCCAGGCAGGGAGCTGGCAATGCTGTGCCCATGCTGCACAGCCCCCATCACTAATCGCCGGTGGGGCTGTGTGTCCCTCCAGGGAGCTCACGTGGATCCTCTCCTGTATTAGGCTTTCCTGATGCGCACCACCGACATGGAGGTCTTCCATGTGGGGCTGAAGAAGGATGGCTTTGCATCTGACTGGAAGTGGCTGGATGGCACCACATTGAAGGGGTAGGGCTGTCAGCTTGTCCCCAGCCAGGGCTGCTGAGGGTCCAGCAGCAGGATTCAGGGAGGTGACAGGGAGACACTGGCATGGAGGGATGTGCTCCATATTTTAGCCACCTCCTGTCTCCCCAGGGCTGCACTGGGGCATTTTAGGGAAGAGAAGATAGGGAAGAGAGGCCTGACCCTGGTGCCCATACTCTGCCTGGGTGAGGGACTGGAGGGTTCCCCCAAAAGCAGATTCCCAGATTTTGGTTGGTGCAGTTGGTGCTGAGCCCTGCCAGGAGGGACCTGAGGGTCCCATGTGCCTGATGGGGCTGGGGGCATCAGAAAATGTGGCTTAATTGGGAGGAGGCAGGAGACTGTGTTCCATGGGGGGAGTGAGCTTTGCCCCGCAGCATCCCTGTGCCGTTTCTGGTCCCTGGCTGGAGGATTTACTGATGGGACAATCTCAGTTCTTCCTGCCCATCCCATCTCAGTGCACTCTCTCCCTGCAGGATCTTCCTATTCCATCGCTACACCAGGTCTTACCAGGCCTGTGGCAGGCTGTCAGGCTTGGGGCTGTCAGGTGGTCTGTGCTCGGAACCCCTTGGATGGGTCTGCAAGCAGAGTGCAGCCACCCTGCAGTGGCTCCAGTCCTCGCCTCCTTCCTTCATCTGGGGAAACACCACCTACAGCTGTGTGAGGCCCTGATGGCTGTGGAAACCCCCAGCCTGTCTCACAACCATGTTCCCTGCCTGACTCCAGTTCATGGGCATTCGCAGGCACTGACTGCTGCCTCCTGGCTCAGACCTCTTTATTTCCCTGTAACTGCATTTTGCCAATAAACTCTGCCAAAAACTGTGTCTGTCTTTGGGGAATGACAGGGGTGTGATAGAGGTGCATCCTCCAGCTCACTCACTCA